CTATGGGAGAAGAGAAGTGCAGCCGAGATTTATCACCTGGATCGCGCGGTGACCCAGAAATATACCACAAGGCAATGAACAGTGCCGCTCTCTCTCTTTATCTCGCGCGCGGTGCCGGCTGTCATGGTGTATTTTTTCACATATTTCTTGTCGCGGACCTTATTTTTAGATTTATTTTCGAGCGCGCGCGCCCAACTCTTTTCTTGCTGGATTGCCCGACCGCCAACACTCGTGTATTAGACGACATTGCAATTTATTATTTTTAACTTCGCACGTGCCCTTTCTCCCTGTGCAACCTCTTTCGGGGGTTAGCAATTTATGGCCAAGATGCCTTCTAAGCAATGCGGTAAATTCAACCCAAAGGGATAAAAATGTTTCCCGGACGGAGCAATGTATGAAATTTCTCATAAATAAATTATTTTGATAAGAACCTGTAACAATCGGCCGAGGAAAATTTTAAATTTGTCCCTCGCAATTTCCAGTTTTTTTCCACATTCAATGTCATTTTTCCTATAAATACTTTTTTTCGGGGTGATGCGAAATGAAAGTGTAAAAAAATCCCTCGGCGCTGAAAAAGTTCTCCACAGGTACATTTCCCAGAGGAATACACGAAGAATACAAAGACAAGCATTGAAATTTTTTCCATTTGCTGCGGATTCAGTGTACGCACATTTTTTAGATGGATTTGGGCGTCGCGATTCTTGAATGACACGCCAAATCTCTGGGTTTAGCTTTTGGCTTTTGTGCGTCCTCGGCGACGCGAGCGCCACTCGCTCAGCACATCCAGGCCAGCCCTCAATTTATTTTTCCCAGCAACGGGCGGCGAGAAGAGATGTGAAAAATGGCTGGCAATTCGATTTGAAAAAAGATATCGCATTTCGAGGACAAGAATATGATTTTAATTCTCTAAAAAATTACAGTTTCCTTGCACGATATAAATTTAATCTCAACCACTTTTCCCCCTGTTTGCACAACAATTTATTCATTTCAGTTAAGATTTCCCAAGTGGCATTCTTGAGTGAAACACTGGCGCATCTCCCTTCTCTTTGAAACGCATTCAAATCCCAAATCTTTCCGCGGCTCATTATAATGCCAAATTTTCGGTCCGTTCTCGCAATTATGCAGCCAAGCAAATATAACAAGCGCCGGTTTCGTTAAGCCGGGCTGAAAGCGCAAGAAGTGTGTTGTGTGATTCTTGTTACAGCTGTCTGCTGTGTGTGCCATATCTCCGCGCGCGAGGGTCCTTAATCAATAATTCACATCCAATTCCTTTGTAGGGCGGTTGCGCGTCAACATACATCACGCATTTGACTTCCAATCGCAGTTTCCCCTCGAGAGTCATTAATTATCTGCTTTTTGCACTCATCACTCGTCGCTGTCACTTTTTGTCGCACTTTTTAATTTTCCGCTCTGAAACTTCATCTGCCTTACCGATCGATCGCTCTCCGGGCGAGTGCGCGGGCAAACAACAGTATCGCATTCAATAAAAAAAAAAAAAAAAAAAAAATTGGGAATCAAAAAATGCAGAGTTGTATTTTCGTTTTTTGCTGTTGCGGTGTGAATTATAACCCGACCCACCTCGGCGCCCTATTTTCAGTCAAAGGCGCACCCGCTCCGTTTTCCTAACAAAGAAACGGATGTGCGGCTTATCTGTTCGTAGCCAGGTTGTCAAAATATTTGTTATTTTCGGTACTTTGGCGGTGCAGCATAACGATGATAAAGTAGGAAGACCCCTGCGTATGTTTGTGCTGCCGTCTGGAGGCGCTAAATTATTCAAGAGACCGCGATGCGAAAGAGATCAATCGGCCTTTGCCAGACCAGTGGCGTATGTCACTGGCAAGCGATTTCCACATTTATTAAAATTATTGCAGTAAGCAAAAAGTAATCAAAACAAGAAGATTGATCAAAGAATATTAATATTTTATATAAATAGGCAAAACCTCTGTATCGAATTAAAAATTAATGGAAAAAATCTACTCAGTGGCATCAGTTACTGGTCGATATTTTCATTAAAAGTTAAATAATATTTTGATTATTGAAATTTGACGCTGTGCAAAAATAAATTGCAGTTTCAAAATCGAACATTTATTCAGAGTTGGGATTGGAAATATTGGCACGGAGAACTAATTAAAGCACGCCGTGGCACATTCACAGAGCTCATCTGATACTCCGTTATTGGATTTTTAATCACGTGCGCCCCGCGAACAATACTGAATAAATGCAGATCCCGCATGCGGTGCACAGTTAAACAAACGGCACCGTTTGTTGCCTGCTTTTCCATTATCAGTGTTTGTTTTGTTCTCGATAGCAAAACTCTCGTGCCTCTTTCGTACGCCGCGTGTATGCTGCGCTGCTATTTCCACCAGAATCGAGCCGCTTCCGACACCAAGAGAGGTAGACAACCGGTGCAACTCGAGTGTCGGCCAAATTGCCTATTCACCATTTAGCGCTTTACCAGAATGCCAATTAAATTGCCGCCCGACCTCGCTGGAATCAATAAACCGCCGGCAAACAAAGAATTCGAGCACTCGATCCAACGGAAGAAAAATCTTCGTTACCATGGAGTCGGGGAATTTCGGTGTGGGTCAGGCGCGGGGCGGAAATGTCACGGTCCACTGGGAATAGGGGCGAGACGATACAAGAATACGCCAGCGGAAAAGCACTTCCGCAGAAAGAGCGTCGAAAGTTAATTGAAAAGACGTGATTGAGATACCCAACTCCGGTAATTGACTTTTTACCGGGCACCTCCCTGGTCGGTCCTCACAAAAACTAATCCAACTCGTACAAATATCCGATTTCGACCAAGCGAGCGCGAAATAGGAATAACTTTTTCACATTGTTATAAAATAGTGTTGAAAGATCATCCGTCTTCTGGGACACATCACAAGCGTTCCCGCAGGAATAGCACGGGAACGGTTTTTATTAGCTGCTGGAGGGGTCAGGCGATAGCGAAAAAATCGTGGGAAATCCTTGGAGAATTTCGTTTCGCCGATTTCAAAGGGCTGGTTAAAAATGATGGCACTGCGGGTTGCATGGAACGTCGCATGAGCGAACACGAACGAGGACGGTTTCCATTTCAAAAAATATTATGACAAGTGCTCTTGCTCGCGAGCAAGAAGAGAGGCAGCTCAAGAGGAACGAAAATAAATAGGCGCTCCACAGACGCAACAATAGCAGGAAGCGGAGTATGATCTGAAAAATACGGCTGTCGCGCGGTGAAAGGCGTCGCATCTGCACGACGAACGCGTCCCACGGGACTTTTAAAACACGCGCGTCGCGAAAATATTACGGAAAATTCCGCAGACTCCAATAAAATCGAGCACCTGAACGCGCGCTCTGAGGCCAGCAGTCATTTCTTAACAAATCGGACTTGAACGTCCGCCAGGGATAAAAAAAGGCAAACGCGCCGAAACGTGCAGTTGGAGATTTTATTTGCTTGGCGTGTGCACGGAATCCTGATTCGGCGCCGCCTCGGGGCCGTGCTACGCCCGGGCGTTCGCCTTAATTAATGGAAATGTGATACACCTTCCATATCGCTGGGGCGCGCGGGGACTCCTCAGCGAACGAACGTCTGCCGGGATTTCTTAATAGACACACACGCAGCGAGGCGGCCGTCTTAGTAAAAAGTCGTAATGACGTTAGATAAAACTTAGTTTCCGCAGGGGAACCACAGAGATGCGCTCCTTCTTTTTCATTCTCTTCTTATGTGATACGGTTGGAGCACGGCCGACGCACCCTGGGACCGAGTAAAGTGGAAAAAGTGGAGTACGTGCTCCAATAAAGGAGACAGACAGAGTTGATAATGATTATCTCGATCGACGGCGACGCCATATAAATATTTCGCCGTGACAAATGAAATATGTCTCGGAACATATTTCCTTCGCACTGAATCAAGGCGAAAAATTAACGGCTTTGGAAAATTTTCAACTATGAACGAGAGAGTTATGAAATAAAGTTTCTCGTACCATTACTGCAAACAATAGCGAGCAAGTTTTATAAAGAAAGTGCATCTCCCCGGCCGGCGGAGGAATAGTTTTTCAAGATGAAATATTGCCGATATACACTGAAGCAAATAAATCAATTAGATGAATGCGATATTGGAAGCAAGGATTAATGAAAGACAAACAATGTGGCAGCAGCGAATATACATCTTATCTTTATTATTATTGCAAGGAAGGGCCACTTTATTGGTTGCGGGTCAACAAATCGGATTGCCTTTCTTCCTCATCTGCAGTGGCATGTGAGAGGGGCCAGTGGACAGAAATACTCTTGCACATAAAGAATGTATTGATAAAACATCAAGTATTTGTTCAGGGATGGAAGAAAAGTTTAAGGGGTGGCGGGGCGAGGTGTCTGTTGTGTTGGCGCGCAAAAAAAGAAATGGCCGCCGTGCCACTGCAAATAAAGAAACTACAAAACAGCAAACTGCCGAGAGGCTTCTGCTGGAATTCAGTCTGTCAAGATGGACGAATAAGAAAGGGCTGCAAAAAGAGCCATCATCGGTCTGTTTGCTCCCGCGACAGTATGTCTTCTCTCCAGCAGTCGTGGCGAGTGTTTGCTAAATCAATCAAAGCTGATGTGTTTACCCTTTCAGCACTCTCCAGAGCGAACGCTCGATTTCGACAATGCGCCTCCTGAAATCAGCTCTGCAGTCCTATTACGTTATCGAAGCTCCGCAGCGGACAAATGGTCCGTGCGAGGGTTGAAAAACGTTTGCTAAATTCGTTTTCTATTCGTATCTGCTTCAATAAAGGGGAAAATTGAGAAACAATATCATTGCTGCGTAATTTATATCATCGATTTAAATGTTTTCTTGTCTTAATTCTTCTTGCGCCTCAAAATAGGCCATAAAAGCAATTTTGTTTGCTAAATGTATAATTAATTTTGCTTGCCCCGTCATTTCCATGACGACATCTAGGCAAAATCAATTTGATTGCTCCCTTTCGCACCCTATTGTGAATGTATGTATTCTCATCCATTTTTTAAATTGCTTGTTACAGGCGACTTTTTATTCGACCGCGCTGAAAACGCTCATCTCTGTATCGACTGTGATTCTTCTCGGGCTAATCGTAGCCTACCATGCCCTTGAGGTGCAGGTGAGTGCAAAAAAGGAACCTACTAAATAATATAAAAAAAAAATCATGAAAATATTTTATTCACTCAACTTCAAAGTTTTCTAAACTTTTCTCTAAATGATAATTTTTTCCAAATAATTTTAAAAGCTGTTAATTGTTAAATGGATTTGTATAAAAAATATTTACGTTTTAAACTTTCCTTTGTGACGATTAAATTTTTGAAGGTCAAAAATTTTGGTCCTAAACTTTGCGGTACTTTGCATAATTGATCCCACAGACGCTCTCTGCCCAGCAAAAGTTCCGCTGGAGTTCTGTGCAGGCAACAAAAGTGTTTGTTCCCGAGCTGTTATTTTCGTCAGCAAAGTCCACTTGAATGAGGAACGAATGGAGAACTTGACAAAATCAATATGAATGCGCGCGGGTAGAAGATACAGGCACAGCTGCCCTTTGATTGCCCTTGCTTGGGCGTCCTGTTTATTTTATGACACGGCGCTTTTGCTCACTCACTCACATTCACATCCAACGCGGGATTGGCTCATCTTGCGCGCGCCGCACATTTCCATTCACGCATCACCGATTTCGCCAATATGGAAAATAATAATAAGGAGCTTCCGCTATTCTTTTCTCTTCAATTTGCAGGGAGTCGTAAACGATTTTCCCGCTAGCAAAGATTGCAATTGCGGAAAAGTGCATAAACCTCCGTCCACGGCCAAGGTTTGAAATTTTCAGCACCAAACCGTGTTTTGTCCGCCACAAAGTTGACCTCAGCGCGAAAACCATCTCATTTTATGATAATACTAGGCAATTTTTGTGATACATCTCAGAGATTTCCGTTTAGTTTCATGGCTTGTTTAAAAATAGGTCTTCTTACAATTAGATTTGTGCTAGATTTTGCATCAAAATCACAAAACGGAAGCCGAAATAAATCTGCAGATAATATAAAATAGCTTTTAATTTAAAAATCCAAACTTGTTAGCCAAATCTAAAATAAAACCATTTTCGAAAGCAAGTCTGGTCATATTTCAAATTTAAGAATTTCTAAATACGCGAAAGTTAATTTTCTTTTAAGAACGTGATAATAATTTTTAAATCTTCAAATTGTTCAAATACGACAAATAATATGATTCTTAAACCATTTTGGATATCCGTGGCAATCAACATTATCATATTTCTCTTGATGATTCAATTGAGTAGTTTGCATAGAATAAGTAGTTTTATGTGTTAAATATAACGTGACCTTAAAATTTTTGTTAGTGTCAATTTCATCGAAAAATTAAATAAATAATAAAAAAATAATCACATTTGCAATAAATAGTTTCACGTGATTTTCGTTTTCAAAATAGAAAAAACAAGCACCAAAATTCAGGAAGAATATCTATCAATAAAGTGTCAAGCACTTGAATGTCACGTTTTAGAATTATACATTTAACGAAGTAATTTGGCGCAACAATCCATTTGTACAGTGAAATTTGCATACATAATTAGATCGGTATGTCACGTTAATTTGACGAGCATTCAACTTGGACCGCCGAGTTATAAACGGAGCGATTGCTAATGGCACTCTGGCCTTTGTTGCAGCTGTTCATGATAGACAACTGCGCCGACGACTGGCGAATAGCAATGACATGGCAGCGCATTTCGCAAATCTGCCTGGAGCTTGCCATTTGTGCAGTCCACCCGATTCCTGGTGAATACTACTTCACATGGACCACAAAACTAGCCAACAAGGGTGGCCACCTCGACTCGAGGGAGGTGCCCTACGACGTTACGTTAAGTTTGCCCATGTTTCTTCGCCTGTACCTCATCTGCAGGGTGATGCTGCTGCACAGCAAGCTGTTCACGGACGCTTCGTCGCGCAGCATCGGCGCCCTCAACAGGATTAACTTTAATACGCGTTTTGTATTGAAAACTCTGATGACAATATGTCCTGGCACGGTGCTGTTAGTGTTCATGGTGTCGCTCTGGATCATCGCATCGTGGACCCTGCGGCAGTGCGAGCGGTAAGTTGCCATTTCCACCGCACCAGACCGCCTCTCTGTTGTTTGGATTTGTAATCACCACCACCAACCCCCCAACAACAACCACCCACCACGCCATGGCTTCGTTTTGTGCAACGCTCTATGAATTCTCAAAGTTCGGCGCGCCAATTTACATAAAATAATTTTCTATGCCTGAAACTATAAACACCGTTCTCTCGTAATGAAATTATAACTTTCTCTCATAGTTTTCCTATTATTTATGGCAAGTTTAATTAAAAATAGAATAAGCAAAATTGAAACTTTGAGGATGCGTGCAGCGTTTCACAACTCAACTCACATTTAGTGAAATTCTGCTAAGTGTGACCTGCCCTTAAGTTCTCAAAATCCCAGTTCCGTCCAAAGCTGTAAGGCATCCCGCTAAAGCCGTAATACATTTTTGGCGATGCTTCGCAGTTATGGATCAAATCTCATCCCGCGTGTTTTACTTTTCTCCACACATTCAGAGTGCATCTAATTTTTTAAACAAAAAAAAATTAATTAAATCTTAACTGTTGCGCTCTGAATGAAATCTGTGTTTGATGTGTTCTTCCCTGGAATGGATATCTCTGTGTATGTCCACTGAAAATAATTTCTAGATTTTTAAATTGCTAATAATTAGACCGTTGTCCCCTATGTACGCCTAAAAGTTCCCTTTGATGTCCCTAATTAAGTTGACCTCAGCAAACAAAAGCGTTGAGTTCAACTGCGATTCTACTTTTGTAAAACTTGTAATACCGCAAAACGTTTACGGGATCCGCGGTTTCAAGCAAGCTGCGTGCAAATGATGTTGCGAGCTTTGAGCAGATTTTACTTCTTTTCCGTGTGCCGTAGTTTTTTTTTCAATTTAAAATATATTTAAAAAGTAGACCTGAATTAATAAATAATGTAGTTCAAAATGCACGGTTTACCTTTCGATTTATTTATCTCTTGTGATATTGATTTTGAGCGTAAAACTATTGTGCTTTTGCGATTAACCGGCTTCCCAGATTTAATCATCCGTCGGCCAAACAACAGCAAGATACAATTTGCCGGACAAACAATAGCCGCATTGTTCCCTTAACACGTACAGAAACTGCAGTGAAAGCGCATTTCGGAAACACATCCCAGATGTCTCTACTTTAACGGGTGGAAAGTTATATGCAGCAGCCGCGAATGGAACAAAACCCAAAATGTCAACTCTTGACAGTGAAATTTCGTACCCGTCCGCGCACACTATCGGATTTTCGCAAAACAATGGCTCAGACCTCGCAAAACCATTAGCCCGCGCGCGCGAGCATTATTATTTCTTGCCGAGCGAGCAAAAGCTCGGCTTTCAAGTGCGTTTTTGGCCGCGCGCAATTAAGATGCTTGATCTTTTGGCGACGCGGTCGATCGGTGAATTATATTCGAGACGACACGTGTGTATTAAGTAGTGAGCTTAGTAACTAAATTAATGTGTGCTGTTCTCATGCATTATTCTTTTACATTTCCTCGAGATCCCGCGCCCGCCTCCTCTGGTCCCGATATTTTTACCCCAACCTGAAAACCTCCTCCCAATTCTTTTCTCTATATCTCTGTGTATAAAATTCTCTCATATCGTTTCCACCTATTTCATTACGTTTTGTAAACTAAAATAGCATTTTATAAAAAGCCTATAAGAGGAGCATAGGTGCTCCTGGAAAAAAAAAATGAAAGCTTCGCCCTCATGTGAATATTACTTACTATAAAAATAGAAGTTTTAACTTGATAAATAAATATGACTGAGAAATTAAACTACATGACACGTGTGCTAGTTGCGCTCGCTAGTCGGAGAGAATATACCCATTTTATATTTTCTCCGAGGCTGAAGATGTTATATAAAGAGAGGGTTTAGGGACTTATTATCAGATATATTACTTTTGTGCCGCTCCCCCAATACGTATACGCTTATGTTTGAGACGGAGCAGCCTAGAGCTGGATTTGTGCGCTAAGGTAGAATTATTACAATTATTTACTGCATGATTTGGTGATTATCAAACACGGTAGGCCAAACAAACAGTTTTGTTCTGATTTTGTTTCTGTTTTCCCTTGGTTTCTAGCTCGCTTTCACAACACACTACTTACTATTGAGTCTCCTAAAATAGAAAGAAACCACAACAAATTGATCTATAATGGCTTTTGCACGGCTTTATTTTTGTATATTATACTTTCCATTGATGACCCACAAACACTATACAAAAAGAAATCACACGATCACAATAAAACAATTTTCCATCAACTTGATTTGAATCGTGTCAGATATTATAAAATCTTCACTCCGCACATTCATCTTTCCTCTCATTTTCTCTCAACTGTACATTTAGAGTCGAGCAGTGTGTTCATCACTAATATTTTCTCCATCTTCCGTTTGCTAATTGTTTATGTAAAGATGTTGAGCACTAGTGTAAAAAGATTACCACCTGTAAAAATGTTTCTTTGTGAACCAAGGTGGAGCGTCTTGAAGAGGAAGCTTCAGCATATATCGTTCACGCTTAAATTTGTTCAGAATTTCATATATTTAGACGGCTAACTGTCCCCAATTTAGAAGCACTTGTCTATAAAACAAACTAAAGTCCAAACTACACCGACCTATAATCATTTGCACCATCATTATTAGTTCTATATATATAAATAATCTCTTTCTCTTCTCTCTATCTATTTTTCTTTCCTCACTCTGTCATAAGATCCGCGTTTCTTTGTTGAACATACAAATAATTGTTTAGTCAAAAGCCTCTCTTCAGCAATGTGTTCTTCGTTCTTAGCAATAATTGTGTATACAAGTTACTGTCGCCTATATCCGCTCTCGCCTGCAAACGTGAACACGAACCATCTCTATAGTCCACATCTATATAAATAAATATTCAGCCAAAATTGCAATTCTCCCACCATCTCAGCAAATCATGGCTGCGATTAAAGTTGTGACATTAATCATTGTATAAATATATATAATTACATAAACCTATATAGCAAAAACACACTACTACTCCTACTACTGTCAGTAAAAACAAGCAAATATCTTCTTGGTATGTAAATCGCAACTTTAAACTAATATAAAGTAAAATCTCTAAATTCGTATCATTCTCAAACATTATACTTTGAGTTGATATATATATATATTTTTTTACTTTCAGTTTGGAAATGATCCAACTGCTTTGATTATCAAACTTGCATTTTGATCTCCGCTATTAGCAATATATCTCACGATTGGTGTTTGCTGTGCAACAGTTTGAACTGCTTGTGTGTCTGTTATTTGGTATATTGGACGATTTATCTAGATTATTATTTGATTTCAACGCATGCCCTGCTCGCTTTTCCACAGAACTCTGCATTTATGACTGGTACTGATTATGACCTACACATTAAGTGGCATGAGAACTCATTTTTTACTCAAAAAAATGCTTAACAATTTGAGACCTGCCTGAATGACAATCACCAAGGTTATCGGTTCTGTTCTCTTTTGTTCTCCTGTGTAGGTTCCACGACGAAGAACACGCAAACTTACTAAACTCCATGTGGCTGATCGCCATAACCTTTCTGTGCGTCGGTTATGGTGATATCGTTCCCAATACTTACTGCGGTAGGGGCATCACTGTAGCATGTGGTATGACGGTAAGTTCAGCCCTAGCACTCTCTTTATATCGAGCAAATCGCAAGAAATAAAAATGACATACCGAACGCGCGGAATGTGTAAAATAACTTTTTCACGAGGGTGGCGAGGTTCTTTTAGACTATCCCTTCCCTGACCCGATCCTAGTCAATGTGTGAGAGGAGCTAAAATCAAAGCAAGCGTCAAACGATACACCAGCCTCATTCCTCTTGGTTTCTTCTTTCTCTGCAACCTTTAGGTTCCATGACGAAGAACACGCCAACCTTCTAAATGCTATGTGGCTTATCGCCATAACTTTCCTCAGCGTTGGATATGGGGATATTGTGCCTAATACTTACTGCGGGAGGGGAATAGCTGTTACGACTGGTATTATGGTAAGTCTCTTTTTTTCCAAGACAAATTCCTAGAGGAGCACGTTGGTCAAAATACAGCTCTGAGGACTGTGTTCTTGCCTGTAAAACCCACACACAACATGTATACTATCTGATCTATTTGCGACAGATTATTTCGCAGCACTATTTAATAATAAAAATATAATGCAATAAAAGAGCAACTAAAATATAACACCTAAAAAAGAACCCTTATTTTCGTTTTTATTATTTTTCTACGAGTCGCAGAAGGGGATAAAATATGAAATTGCTTTCTGTGGCCACTTTTTACAGAGCAATAAATCTCGCTGGAAAAAGTCTCCGACCGATCCGACTTTCGCATTAACGAGATTTTGTTGAGCTTTTTTTCCTCGGCCTCAGCCCACTTTAGGCAGGCGGCTGACAATGAAAAATATTCAGCTGTCATAATTAGGCCTCTAGTGGCCGCCGATTTGTCACTCTCTCGAGTGGCGTTATGACTGCTCTGCCGCGCACACTTGTGTGTTCGTCAAAAAAGTTTATTTCCTCTCGTGCAAACGGTGGGCTCCGTTAAAATAATTAGCTTAATTCCGCACTTGAAATTGTCTCATTTCCTGATAATCAATCTCGTTTTTGCTTTCTCTAATGACCCCCGTGTGTGTCACACAAATTGTCTTGGTGCCTAAAAGTGACACTTATTCCGGCCAGTTTTACAGTTTAATTTGGACCTTGTTCGTTTTAGTTGCAGTGAGGAACTGTCTAATTTAGCTGCAGTGTAGATTTTATACAAATTTGTGTCTGGCTTGCATTACTTGAACAACAACCGAGACGTTTTGCCTCATGTAAAGAATGGATATAAATACCATTTTGTTATTAAACTGAGCCAGCGTAAAATAAAAAATAATAAAATTTAATTTTGCCAATTTTGCAAGAAAAAGTGAAACAAATTACACTCGCTTAGCATTCAGTTTTAATAAGAATACGCAAAAAAACAGACACCCATATACTTGGAATGAATCTGCCTTATTTTATTTTTACTTTTAAATTAGCAATTTTTATTTTTTTGAAGCATACGCAAAAATAGGCGAGCTAACGAACTACAGAAAAGTTTCCTCACACATAATTGTTACTACAACATTGCATATTTTCGTAGGGTGCTGGATGTACTGCGCTACTGGTAGCCGTGGTTTCCCGGAAATTGGAGCTAACTCGTGCCGAAAAACATGTGCACAACTTTATGATGGACACGCAACTAACAAAGAGAGTGAGTAATAAATTTTTACATTAAAATTAGTCCAGGAACTTGTTACGTTTCAGGAAAATTGTAAAATTATTATCCGTCGTGCGCACGTTTCATTAATCTCGGCTGCATATTTAATTTCAATTTATATTTATCCAATCAAAAAGCACACCAATTTGCAAATTGGAGCACGGATGTTGTGCAAAATTTAATGGAAAGCAGCGCGACTCGTAGGGAAAATCAGCGCAAGGGCGCAGCTCGAAATTATTTTGAGCACTTCCGCGGTGCGGATCAATGTCGCCCACCGACATTGGCTAGGGCTCTTTAGACTAATGGACCAAAGGAAACTCGAAATCGAATTTTAGTGCGGCTGCGAGGCAACTTCAACAGCGCGTCGGGACCATAACCCTAAACATAATAGGTCAATAGGTGGATCTATCTCGGGAGCGAGCCTCTGGTGCCCACTCCCGAATCCGGCGCGTAATTTTGCCGTCGTTGCCATGGCGACCCGGAGCGGCATCCTCGCGCCGCTGCCCCGCTCCATGACTCTGCATTAATTTGCACTAATTCACGCACGAACGATCAAATTGTTTGGAGCGGCGGCTTTATGGAAAACATCCGAGCCGAAAACTCCTTTCGCCTGTGGAGGAGCTAATTTTATGTGAATATTTATTAACAATTTCCTCCCCGTGGCGTATGTTTCAATTACTTTCTCTCGCATTCGAAAAACGGCTTCGCCGAGTCCTGAGGACATCATTATGCAGATGAGTTTTCGGGCGCTATTAGATTATGTAGGATTTGTCTTGTTCCTCGTGTGAAATCTCATCTCCTGGAGCATAAATTTTTCACATTGTTTTCTTTTCCTGTCAGAATGCATGTATAATATCCCTGTGGAATTTTCGCCTCGGTGTAATTGTACTCTCTGCGCTTGTTGCCAGTTGAAAAATGCAGCGGCCAACGTGCTGCGCGAGACGTGGCTCATCTACAAGCACACCAAGCTCGTGAAAAGGGTCAACCCCGGCCGAGTTCGCACGCACCAGCGAAAGTTCCTGTTAGCCATTTATGCGTAAGTGGTGCAAATTTCATTTTCGCTGCCTCCACACCACTTTATGAACGTTTTGCAGCTTGCGGAAAGTCAAAATGGATCAGCGAAAGCTGATGGACAACGCCAACACCATCACAGACATGGCGAAGGTACGTACGATGCATGAACATTGATTTAGTATTCAAAAAGCAAACAAAGCCCTTGCATATTATAAAATAAGGTCAGAGGATTTTTTTCAAATCTTCTTAAAAGAAAGCGGACTTAGTTGGGCCCGGGACTATTTAATTTTAGATGAATAAATTTCGGGCTTTCACCCTCTGAAGTGGTTCAATATGGAAGCAGTCTTAAAATATTTATGGCTCAGAGGGGTGCGAGCCAATTTCTCTGCGAGCCCTTGCTTTTTGCTTCTCTCCTGCGGCACACCAAACATATGACCATTAGTCGTTTTCGTTTCCAATCCAAAACCTCCATTTGAATTCCCCACTAACACGCTACTGCTCAGAAGCTCCTAAGTTGAACGTTCAATTGAATTATTAATGGCCCAGTGCATCACAAATAATTCAATTGGCAATGTTTTTAAATATTTCACCACACGGTGCTCTTTACAATTGGTTGTGGCTAAGTAAATTTTATTTCTAAAAATGAAATTTATTATTTGAATTTTGTCAATTTTTAAAACTCACTCATTAATTTTAAATATAAGTAAGGCTCAAGCGTATAATCTGTAACTATTTTTAAACAAATTTTTAGTCTTCTGTCAATCATTGGTTTTAAACTATTGAAAATATGATCCGAACCTCAAAATTTCAGAAAAAACAGTGAAGATATCTAGGTTTTACCTCCTTGTAAAAATTGTCTTTATTCAAAAACAAAACGGCTCCAATAAAAAACAATTTTAACAACGAGGAAAAGCCCGATTTCTTCATTTCCATGATCATCTCCTCGAGTGTCACTTTCTTCAAGCAAACACTATTATTTTCATTTTGTTTAAAGAAATTGATACTCAAAGAAAAGTTCATGGAAGTGAAGAACTCCAGCATTTTCCTCGTTGAAAAAAATTTTTTTTATTTAAAATCAAATTGCTCTAGCAGTTTCGGTCACGGTCTGTGATTCTACTTCATGAGCAAGAAAAATACAAAAAAAAATTAGCAAATTGAAAAACCACCATTTAAATAACAATGAAATTCTTAAAAAATAACAATTTCATGTAAACAACGAATTTATTATTATTATTTAATTAGTTTTAAAAGTTTGCGAAATTTCAAAAATTCACGGTAATAAATTTTAGTAATTTTTCAATAATAAAAAAGTGATATAAAGTGATGTAAAACATATTTTCAGTTTAATAATCTGGCTAATTAAAATACGTTCCAAATCTGAAAATTTCAAATAACAAATAAAATTTTAAATAAAATATTTTGATTTTATCGATTTTAATTTTAATATTTATCGAATAACAGTCAAGTTGGAAGAGGACACAGTTTCTAACGTTTTTCTTTTCAAATTACAGACACAAAACACGGTGTACGAGATTGTGTCCGACATGAACACGCGGCAGGACGTTCTGGAGGAGCGGCTGACGGCGCTCGAAGAGAAACTGAACGCCATCCAAGAGCAGCTCGAGTCGCTGCCGGACCTGCTGACGCGGTGTCTGCGGCAGCACAGCGACCGGATGGACCAGCGCCGCAATTTCCTGCATCCAGAGTCGGCGGCGTCCCTCACACCGGCCGTGGTGGCCGCCGCACCGGCCGCGGCGCCCCCTCCCTCCACAGGGCCTATTCTCTCACATTCCCGGAGCGTTCCTGCCACGTGGATCGGGGCGGGAAACCGCACCTCCCTATTCGAAAGGGCGCCCACTTTGCCGCCACCCCCTGGGTCGGTGCCCACGTCACCGGCGGATGTGCCCCCCGCGTTGCCCAACAACTCGGCCAGCTGAGCCAAGCCCACGGCCGCCACCATCGAAAGTGCACTGTGAGCGGCAGTGGTTTTGGCATGTGCACCCCCCCCCTCCCCTTGCGACCAAAGGTGGCTTGCACAAAAAGCAGGTCTCTGGAGCTGCCTCTTTTTTTAAACAACTTGAAATTGTTTTCCATCCCGTCGTTTTTTGTGCGAAATTCTTTGCTTTTGAATCTCTGATCGAGATAAATAATAGACATGCATGTAATGATTATAATATGTGAAGAACTTTATTGGTTTCCAATTGTGTGTAAATTTGTTTGCGTCTAGATAGAAGAATTTCAGAGGGAGAGAAAAATTAAATTTTACTATCATCAATAGTGGCTGTGCCTAGGACTAATGTATATTGCTGATAATATGCATAAGAAAAATTAAAAAAAAGCATAAATAAGTGAGGGACTTTGCAATTTTGTTCAGTGAATTTTCCAAAAATTTTCATCAACCACTTTAATTAATAATTGCATTTAATATATCTGAAAAAATATATTTAAAATAAAAATTTCAAACAGAAAATTCGAGTAAAATATCTATTTAGGCTTATTAATTTTAAATAATTTCAGCAAAGTTCCTTATCGATCAAAATTCAAAATTATGAACAAAATTGATGTGTATTGAGAAATGCCAATCCTGTGCCCTCCTGTTATTATGTATGATGATGTTTGTTGTTTATTCTTAACATATGGGCAAGTTGTTAAATGAAAAATTTGAAGCAAAGTTTGTACTTGAGATTAATTCTACGTAGTGTTTATAAATTCTGTATACAAAGACGAGTGTAATGATCACACTTACATTTATGTAAATATATAAAGACAGTGCTGATTTAAGGCAGATTTCAAACATCACTGGAAAAAACACACATCAGCTTGGAGACATTGAACACACCCTACACACTCACATGAGACCAACATCAGTGATATAAAAAGTTGTTGAGCGAATTATAAATCTTTATAAAAGAGAGGGAGTGAATGTTAAAAGAGAGTGCTTAAAATTTTTGCTAAAACTTAAATAAACAAAATAATAAGAAGTAACGAAAAAGGTAAAATACATAACCGGTGCTAAAAACCTCTACTTATTCATTTACTTTACCGTCCCATGGTTAAAAATCATTGATTCAAGCAAAGATATCACGGTGTTTTCAATTTCTAATTCTTGTACTTTGTAATTAATTTGGATAAAGTATCACTTTGACATTTTTTGATAAAAATGGTTAAAATTGATATTTTTTTTCGCTTCTTGGAGCCGCAGTCATGACAATTATAACAAGATAATGTGTTCAAACTTTTGTACTGTTATTAAGGGCAAAGGCACATCCAGGAGCTTCATTAATTTCCATTTTTGGATACACAAAACATACTCGCACATAAAGATGCTTCATGATTTTGCAAGAATTAATTTACCTTTAAAGAAATGAGTGATAATTTCTCTCTTGCAAGTTAAACCAACAAGGATTATTGGATAATTATTTAGGTTTCGAACTCCTAAACTGTCCTTTACATTCAATTTTTGAATTTCCAGCCGGTTACCATTAAAAATTAAATCAAATATTACGCATAAACTCTTAAAGAAAAACTACTTATTACATATCATCATATTTTATGCTAGGAGTGAAGGATGCTTTTAAAATATTGTTACAAAAGGAAAGGTCACATGTAAAAATTTTCCGCTATATAGCCACTTTGGTAGCTGTGCTACCAAAAAATCTTGGGAAGTTTAAACCCCCCTACAAGTTTTGCAATCAAAATGCATGTATGTCAAAGCAGGTTGTTATAAAGTTAGAAAAAGGCGTGACCCTTTATTGGTTCGTTCTGCATTATTTCTCACTTCAATCTGTGAACTCGTTTTAATACTAGGCATGGTGACAAAAATCAAGACACCACCTATCTGATATATTCGCCTTACGCAGTGGAGTTTTTATCACAGGAAAGTTTATGGGGTAAATGTTGCCACGTTTTTATAGAAGAAATTATATATACTCTAAATAAAAAAAAACAAAAAGATTTTCCAGGAAGAAAAAAAAATAATGAAACGTCTGTAGTTCTATATAAAGAGTTGCATTTGCCATTCAAATTGATCAAAACACGTTTATAAATTTTTTTCAATGATTTAGTCTCGTTTTCGCGTTATTAAGAGAGAATTTCCAAATCTCATTGGTTGAAAAGCTTTATAAGATAGAAGTATAAATCTATGAAAGATGTGTATTTTATCACGAAAACCGGAAATTAAATAAAAACAAACCAGATTGTTTTACTTTTTAATCACTCACTCGCTTTAAAAAAAAAAGAAAGAGGAAATTCCAATTATCCCACTGTTTATTTTAAAAATCCGTCTTGTTGCTGAATAGATCGCAAAATGTTTACTTATGAAGTTCCCATTTTGATTTATTGGTTCATGTGATAGAGAAAAAGTGTGTTGCAGAATCTGTTTCAAATTATATGTTGTGAGCCGGTATAAAATAGCAAGCCCACGCGAATATGTATCGACCGTTATTATTTTGTTACGCTACATTGTAATAAGGCACGCGCGAGTTGTTATTTTGTAAAAATGTCAGAAGTGAGATTTATAGAGCGAATTTTAAAATTACTCCTCATACAAGTCATGTTGCAATGACTAACTGAGGAGGAGAGTAACAAATGGGCTAAAATTTATCAAGAATGAACAAGGATAATTATTTAAAATAAAAACATATTATAGATCTTGGCCGCCGTCTATCATTCCTACCACCTTATTTTAAGATAAAAATAAATAATAATTAATTCCAGTCCCTACGAATATTGGACTACCCGTTGAACGCGGCTGTTCAGCGGGCTGCATAAATTAGACTCAGCAAGGCGTTTCATTTTCCAATACACTCTGTCTGAAGGGCATTGAGAAGTCCGAAGATCTATAAAATCTCAGATGTTAGCATGAGAGGCACCAGCTGGCAGCACAGGAGGGTTGAAAAGTTCTGGGCAACGTTCTGGGAATGGTATTATTGTGCAAGCTTGATCAGAGATGGTGTATGAGTCTTCGCTTAGGGGTTAGTTCGCTCTTTGCATATTACACGAATGAATTGTTATAAGAAGATCATTTCTTTGTATTAAAGAGTCATTTATTTTTTTATTCTATTTAGTGGAAATGCACTATTCAGTTTTGGTGATTTAATTAAAGAACACAAAGTTGACTTTACAAAATTCCTAAATTTTATGACTTTGGACTCGTTTGAAGCGCGTGTGATTAATAAATATATTTCCATAAAAAATTTAACACCATATCAATTCCATGTTTTGGGTACTTTCTGGAACAAAATTAAAAATATTTTACTGAAACTTAATAAAAGTCTAATATATGGTAAGAAATAATTACAAAATGTAAGATCAAAAATGTCACTTTTGGCGTTAGATTAACAAGTAATAGATAGAATTAAATTTTTTTAAATAAGTTTAATTAAGCTTTGATTGATTAAGCCATTCAATGGAATTCAAATATTTGAATTAGAAATATGCATTGTGCGTTTCTAATGAATTCAAAGTTCTATCGCATTGTGATTTTGAAAGGAAAGTAACTCAGGATTGGCGTGGAAATTCATATTGCAGCGATATTGATAGGACTTTTGCTGGAGACTTGTTTCCACTATTCATGTCTTTGGCATGTAGTGAATGAGCAGCAATTCTAAATTAGTAATATTACGAGAGAGAATAAAATAATTGAAGCAAACATTAATTGCAAGAAAATGGATTTCAAGCCGTGAGGTCGTTCTACATCTGGTGCCAAGCAGAGCAAGAAACTAGTTGGTGGGGTGCGAATGATTTGAATGTGCACCACATGCCACGAGACACGGACAAATATCCGACAAGGACTGCGACGGATGTTTCTTGGCCTTTATATAGAGTGAATGTCTTGGGCTGAAGTACACGCGCGTCGCCTATATACAGGGGCACGGCAGCAACAAGCCACCCTGCCGTTTGTTTACCAGGCGCTTATAAGTAAATTGGTGAAAGAAGGAGTGAAGAAACGGCTCGCTGGGGAGTCGTGCAGACACACCCAACCTTTTTTATTTGTCCCTCACTGACCCTTAGTTGTCCCGTTTTTTTACAATACCACCTGGACCGCGGCAGAGACATAAAGCGGGCAAAGGGAATCAATATTCTTTCCATTTAAAGAAGAGCAAACTACTTGCGGAGAATAATTAAGGAACACACAAGAAATCGCTGCTATAGGACGGCCGTGACAGTGACAAATAACTGAGAAGCAGCGATTGTTCTTTCCAACTCACGGTTTATTTTTCCTAGGTCACATGTGACATGAAATAAATGCCAGGGAGTATAAAGAACGGAAAATAAAAGTAAAATAATGACATGCTTTATGATAGAGAGAGAAATAGAAATAATAACCAGGGAAATTTTGAGACCAAACGAAAAGAATTATCCATTTTTTTTCTTTTTAATTCAATTTTTCCTTTTTTTAATCAATTCAATTTGTAAGAGTAAACTTTATAATAATGGATTTTTGGAAGAGTAAAAAAAGAAGTAAATAATGCAAAATAAATCAATCAGTTTTGAGGCAACACAAAATCGCTTTCGGGAGGCAACTCGCGGTTTTTGATAAAATGTCATGAATTAAATGGGCTAATTAACATTTATTTAGCAATAATATAAATAAATTGGTGGTTCCAGGTGCGGTTCAAGTTCAATTCTTAATTTCCACAAACAGTTATGCCATTTCTGAGTTTTAAATACCAAGATAAATTTCTTCAAATTTCTACATGATTATCTCTGATTGAAATGCGCTTTTCCATTTTCTGAGATTGGGATTTTTTAATTATTTCAAAACTTAACGTTCAAAAGTTACCTTTTACGACATAAGAACATTCTTTTGCTGCGCAATGAAATGGCCAGAACAGTAAAACGCAGCCACTCTTAAATGATCATAATTTATTTTCACACAAACATACAAAGTGTGTTTCCTCGCGCGTGACCATTTGCCGGACGAGCTGTGGAGAATTCGCGCCGATATTAGCACCAATTTGCGGTCCGATAAATTGTCTCTCTCCAGCAAAGTGTTGAAGAAATAGTTTGGGCGCTGCGAGTTAATAATTATTGCGCTCACCCCTCGGGGGGTTTTCATTCTGTGTTGAGGGACAAGAAGTGCAAATACTGCAGCCCCAGCAGTTGTGGTGGTCGCGCGCGCGTCTGATTGCACTCGGGCTTTCTCTCTCTCGCTCGCTGCGCCAAGAAGAATAATTGCTTTTATATTGCCTCTAACTACGGACAGGAATGCTGCTCATTTTGCTCTCCCATTCTGCACAGTCGTCGCTACGTACACGCTTGCTTAGTCTGAAATTAATGCTTGTGGCTACTTAATGTAAAAATCCCTCCCCCAGTTATATTGTGTGCCGCACCTTCTCTTTCATTTCGCTGCTGGCATTTTCTGCACCAAGAGAGTGACTGTCACTTTTTCATTTCAAAATTAATTCACTTTCGTAAGGGAAAAGGATGAGAAAGGCGTAAAAATCGAATAGGAAAATAAGAAAAATCTGATTGTTTAATCAATTCTTTTTTTAATTTTTTTTTATTTCCGATTTTTCTAATTTTTTTTGCGTTTATTCATCTCCAGCTGCAAAATTGCAGAATAAAAATGTCATAATTTAGTGCAAAAAATGGTATTGTAATGCAATATAATAACTATAATAGCATTTTTTAGCTTTTATCGCACTAAAAATCAACTTGGCTCAATCCATAAATTATTAATTAAAATTGTAATTTACTAGCATATAAAGAAAACGTTAATGCACAAAATTATTAGTAGGTAAGGAATACAGATGCTGCTAAGCAGGAAGAAAATGTGTGATTTTGCCTCTGCTCTATTTATTTTCTGCAAAATCTCACAAATTTGAATGACAATTTGAGGATTTTGAGAATAACACTCGCAGCTTTTTGCCTCTGCTCTTCTCAAAATGTGGCACTTATTTTCCTTTTTAGGCCGAGACACGGCGTAGGCTGCTCCATTGGTGCTGGCGCGCGACGACAGTTGTGATCCCCCAGCTCGCATATTCATTTTCGCCTTGCCTTGGCGCAAAACAAGGAAGGATTTGAACGCAATTTCGCCCGCGTATCTGAAATTAACATTCGCATTCAGTTTGTTGCTCACGTAAAACAGCACCGCTGCCCAAGATAGCCAACTCTGGCAAGCAAATTAGCACAGCCATCTTCACTCGACTGCACATTTTTCACCATCTCAATTCTTATCTGGGCGGCGGCAGGCGCGGCGCACTTTGCAAATGACTCGTGAGAGCAGATGATTTCTGTTGTGCATTAGAATATTAACTCTGTCTCTTGAAAGTAGGTCTAATGATGAAGAATGTACGTGAAATGAATTCTGCACGGCACACGCAGTCTGCGGAAATGACACAAAATCAATGCGCCCGCTGCACAATGGCCGTAAAAAATGCGTCTGACACCGCGCGACTGCAGCGTTCACCGAAAATACAGCAAAACTCGCTTTCCTTTAGGAAGACTGTTCCGGATATGCGAAAGAGTTGTAAATTTTTAACCAGCAACTCGTAGGAGAGGTTGAGCTGCGCCTATTCCGCCTTATCTTGTGCCACCCTTTGTTCTGCAATGCAGGGGATCCTGGAAATTGCACGCTCTCGAAAACACCGGCCAGCACACAAAAACCACAGGCGCCGTCCGTCATTGAAATTAACACCTATCAAAACCTTAATTATTTTTAGAACGTGGCTTAAATTCTCCAAAAATGCTTGAACAAAATTTTCTGCAAACATAAATTTTTAAAGGTCGTTTTACAATCTTGTTAATACAGAAAAAGGCTATTTATAAAAATGACTATTTTTTTTTAACAGGATTTCAGACAAAACATAATCAGGCAGAGAATTAATACATAAAATAATAATTTAATAGAGTAGATGATTATTATGAAAGAAGAGCAGTAATCCAAGTAGTTGCTAAATTTCGCCTTGCAAATCTCATCTTTTAAATATTATCAGTTTGATGTTATAAATTATGAGGGTAAATTGGTTACAGATGAAATTAAAAAAATGAAAAATGCCTCAAAGGGTGGAACTAAAAATAAAATTAAAAAAATAACATTTTTTTTTTGTGAATTTTGAAAAAGTTTTTATATAAATAAGATCTGTTTGCCAACTATTTTGCTAGAAATGATGGCGAATATAGAAAGAAGAAGCGATATAAGTTAAAAAATATTGCATCTGTTGCTGCCAAATATGAACCAAAAACGTGAAAAAGCCCTCTTGGTAAGTAGGTTGCGGGGTTCAATTGTTATGCAAATCTCCCATTTTCAATATTTTCAGATAAATCTTATAAATTATGAAGGCAAATGAGAAAGAGATGATATAAAACCTTGATAAATGCCTCTAAAAATTCTAAAAAAATTAAATTGATGAAAATCGTCTAATTTTCTTACTTTTTTATGAATTTTGATATTTTTGATATGAAAAAAAAACCGATCCATTTGGCGCCTCTTTTGCTACAAATGTAAAACGTGGAGAATAAATACAGTAGAGGTGATTCTAGTTAAAAAAAATTGCATCTGAAGATGCTACAATTGAGTCGAGAGACCTAGAAAAGCCCTCGGTTTGTTAAGGAGGTTGACGGGTTCGATCACCCGGCAAATCTCCCCTTTTCAATATTTTCGCATCAATTTTTTAAATTATGAAGGCAAATGAGTTAGAGATGATATAAAACCATAAAAAATGACACAAAGATTGAAACTTCTAAAAAAATTAAATTGATGAAAATCGTCTAATTTTCTTACTTTTCTGTGAATTTTGATTAATTTAATATGAAAAAAAACCGATCTATTTGGCGCCTTTTTTGCTAGACATGTAAAACGTGGAGAATAAATACAGTAGAGGTGATTCAAGTTAAAAAAAATTGCATCTGAAGATGCTACAATTGAATCGAGAGACCTAGAAAAGCCCTCGGTTTGTTCAGGAGGTTGACGGGTTCGATCGCCCGGCAAATCTTCCCTTTTCAATATTTTCGCATGAATTTTTTAAATTATGAAGGCAAATGAGTAAGAGATGATATAAAACCATGAAAAATGACACAAAGATTGAAACTTCTAAAAAAATTAAATTGTATAAAATCGTCTAATTTTCATACTTTTTTATGAATTTTGATATTTTTGATATGAAAAAAAGCGATCTATTTAGCGCCTTTTTTGCTAGACAAGTAAAACGTGGAGAATAAATACAGTAGAGGTGATTCTAGTTAAAAAAAATTGCATCTGAAGATGCTACAATTGAGTCGAAAGACCTAGAAAAGCCCTCGGTTTGTTGAGGAGGTTGACGGGTTCGATCGCCCGGCAAATCTTCCCTTTTCAATATTTTCGCATCAATTTTTTAAATTATGAAGGCAAATGAGTTAGAGATGATATAAAACCATGAAAAATGACACAAAGATTGAAACTTCTAAAAAAATTAAATCGATGAAAATCGTCTAATTTTCTTACTTTTTTATGAATTTTGATATTTTAGATATGATAAAAAAGCGATCTATTTAGCGCCTTTTTTGCTAGACAAGTAAAACGTGGAGAATAAATACAGTAGAGGTGATTCTAGTTAAAAAAAATTGCATCTGAAGATGCTACAATTGAGTCGAGAGACCTAGAAAAGCCCTCGGTTTGTTGAGGAGGTTGACGGGTTCGATCGCCCGGCAAATCTCCCCTTTTCAATATTTTCGCATCAATATTTTAAATTTTGAAGGCAAATGAGTTAGAGATGATATAAAACCATAAAAAATGACACAAATATTGAAACTTCTAAAAAAATTAAATTGATGAAAATCGTCTAATTTTCTTACTTTTTATGAATTTTGATATTTTTGATATGATAAAAAAAAGATCTATTTAGCGCCTTTTTTGCTAGACATGTAAAACGTGGAGAATAAATACAGTAGAGGTGATTCAAGTTAAAAAAAATTGCATCTGAAGATGCTACAATTGAGTCGAGAGACCTAGAAAAGCCCTCGGTTTGTTGAGGAGGTTGACGGGTTCGATCGCCCGGCAAATCTTCCCTTTTCAATATTTTCGCATCAATTTTTTAAATTATGAAGGCAAATGAGTTAGAGATGATATAAAACCATGAAAAATGACACAAATATTGAACCTTCTAAAAAAATTAAATCGATGAAAATCGTCTAATTTTCTTACTTTTTTATGAATTTTGATATTTTAGATATGAAAAAAAAAACGATCTATTTAGCGCCTTTTTTGCTAGACAAGTAAATCGTGGAGAATAAATACAGTAGAGGTGATTCAAGTTAAAAAAAATTGCATCTGAAGATGCTACAATTGAGTCGAGAGACCTAGAAAAGTCCTCGGTTTGTCGAGGAGGTTGACGGGTTCGATCACCCGGCAAATCTCCCCTTTTCAATATTTTCGCATCAATTTTTTAAATTATGAAGGCAAATGAGTTAGAGATGATATAAAACCATGAAAAATGACACAAATATTGAACCTTCTAAAAAAATTAAATCGATGAAAATCGTCTAATTTTCTTACTTTTTTATGAATTTTGATTAATTTGATATGAAAATAAAAACGATCTATTTAACGCCTTTTTTGCTACACTTGTAAATCGTGGATAATAAAGACATGAGAGGTGATTTAATTTAAAAAAAATTGCATCTGAAGATGCTACAATTGAGTCGAGAGACCTAGAAAAGTCCTCGGTTTATTGAGGAGGTTGACGGGTTCGATCGCCCGGGAAATCTTCCCTTTTCAATATTTTCGCATGAATTTTTTAAATTATGAAGGCAAATGAGTTAGAGATTATATAAAACCATGAAAAATGACACAAAGATTGAAACTTCTAAAAAAATAAATTGATGAAAATCGTCTAATTTTCTTACTTTTTTGTGAATTTTGATTAATTTGATATGAAAAAAAAACGATCTATTTAGCACCTTTTTTGCTAGACATGTAAAACGTGGAGACAGTAGAGGTGATTCAAGTAAAAAAAAAAATGCATCTGAAGATGCTACAATTGAGTCGAGAGACCTAGAAAAGCCCTCGGTTTGGTAAGGAGGTTGACGGGTTCGATCGCCCGGCAAATCTTCCCTTTTCAATATTTTCGCATGAATTTTTTAAATTATGAAGGCAAATGAGTTAGAGATGATATAAAACCATGAAAAATGACACAAAGATTGAAACTTCTAAAAAAATTAAATTGATGAAAATCGTCTAATTTTCTTACTTTTTTGTGAATTTTGATTAATTTGATATGAAAAAAAACCGATCTATTTGGCGCCTTTTTTGCTAGACATGTAAAACGTGGAGAATAAATACAGTAGAGGTGAGTCAAGTTAAAAAAAAATTGAATCTGAAGATGCTACAATTGAGTCGAGAGACCTAGAAAAGCCCTCGGTTTGTTGAGGAGGTTGACGGGTTCGATCCCCCTTCAAATCTCCCCTTCTCAATATTTTCGGATCAATCTTTTATATTATCAAGGCAAATGAGTTAGAGATGATACATAACCATGAAAAATGCCTCAATGATTGCAACTTAAAATATAATGTTGTTAACATCACAGGTATAAAATTACAAAATTATAACTAATTAACCATATTAATTTATTTAGATACGCGATTAAATTAATTAATAATTAGTGGTTATAAAGACATTGTGAGTTGTTTCAAGTACAAAGGAAATGGTGCTGAAATGAAGTTAACAACCACAGGGATATCAGACTTTGAAAGTCAATGGCACAGGACGCCTGACCGCGCGGCAAGAGGACTCAACAACAGGAAATATGTTGCCAATAAATATCCGGAGCGCAAGGAATCGGGGCCTCACTTCTGTTCTCCTTTGTGTCGGTTACGTTATGGTTACTGTTTTATAATTGTGGTCACTTTATTTGTGTTGCTAATTTCACTTTAAAGTAATAAAGTGTTATTCAATCATCCAATATTGTAAAAGACGTTGGTTTTATTCACAGAACTTACTGGCGGTTCTGTGGATGAAAAGAATTTTATATTGTGGCAATTCTAAATATAAAAAAGTTTAAAATATCTATGATTTTTTTTTTAATATTTTATAATTGAATTAAATTGATCTATTAAGCAACTATTTTGCTTGACATGTATAACGAGGCAAATTGAGGCCGAGGAAGCGATTTCAGGTGAAAAAATAGCGTCTGTTGCAGCTAAACATGAATCAGCATACGTGAAAAAGGCCTCCGTTTGGTAAGTAGGTTGAGAGTTTTAATCGCCTAGCAAATACCCCCTTTTCAAAATTTCAGTTCAATCTTTTTAACTAGGAAGGCAAAATAGTTAGAGATGAAATTTAACTTAGCAAAAACTTTTTATTTGCTTGTTGTACTTCACATAGAATTATGTTTAAATTTTTGTCAGACTAATGAATATATGCTAGATCGAATGCCTATCTCAGAAAAAATGTTAACAAATATTTTTATTTTTGTACAAAAATATTAATTTAAAATTTTTATTTTTTGGTATAAAAAATTTTTAAACTCAAATTTTTTCAATGCAAAAAAAGAAAGAGCATGTCTTTGGCCACAACTTTCCATTTAGGTTTTTGTTTGTAAAAAAATTACATTTCAAATGGCACTAATCTAAGCAAACCCTTTTATATCTCCATGCGTCCGTGGAAAATAATATTTCAACACGAGGGCCGTGTAAAGCAACTCTTTAACTTTAATTTTCCCATATTTTATTCACTTTGATTAATTTTTCATTTAATTTTGACAACCTAACGCAACCTAAGCCAAATCCGAACTCAACAGTCTCTCATTTTTAATTGTTGCAGGGACGGGTAAATTTTTAAGGAGTGCCCAAGAAATCGATTTTCAGACGTCAATATCTCCGAAACGGCTCATGGGATCTTGATTTTGACCACGCCATTCTTTTTTCCGCCCGTTTTCAAGTTAGGGAAAAATCTAAAATAAATCCAAATTCCAAACTAAAATCCTCTATCTCCGAAACGGCTGCCATGATTTTTACCGCGCCATTCGTTTTTCCACCGGTTGTTTTAATGAGGATAAAATTAAGAATAAATCCAAAATCCAAACTGATATCCTCTATCGCCTTTGTGATATAACAATAAAAATCATTTTGCAAATTAGAAGTAAAATAAATAGCCGCTTGCTTAGGAAGAGCCCAACAAACGGTGTGAATTATGCCTGAGCAATTGTTGCAACATTTTTATAATCAACAATGACTGCAATCACAATAAAAAACAAATAATAGAGTTATCATACGAAACGAAACAAGGTTGATGATATTTAAATTGAGAAACTGACGAAAATGGGGGAACCGCAACAAGCAAGAATTTGCAAACTTTGCAATGGAACAGTTCCGGTGGGTGAAGGAATACTGACCCAGTCGAAGGGTACGCAGAGATTCATTGAAGTTAGTCTTGCCAAGAATGATGGACTGGCTGCTGGACTTGCTCCTGAAAGTCGAATTCTGTGTCATGACAAGTGTTGGAGGGCGTACACGACGTACACCATTAAGGTAGGTTTTATAATTCTCAATGTAGGGCATTTTCGGCATCCTCGTGAAACGAGTTTTTCGCCGGTGTGCCGTTTTTGGCTCCAAACGGTTCTTTTCAAAGCTCGGAGATACGACCATGAATTTTTGACAAAATTTGACCGTTTTCAAACGCAAATTTCTAACACAATTCTAAATTGACACGAAATAAAATGCACACCGTTAGAAAACTCGTTTTTTTCTAGTAGATTTAGAATCCCGGAGCTCGCACCATTCCTTTGAGTTTGTCCTATCTCTTTTTGTCCATGAAGCACCCCTCCTCCAGCCCTTTTTACGTCAATTTTGATTATTGATGGCGACTCTGTTGAACCCTGACCCGGATTACGTCAGGTCAATAAAATATTATATAAAAATAATGAAAATGAATAAAATTTAGGAAATTTTAAGTTAAAGAGTTCTTGAAATATATATTTAATGCCACAATTTGTTTCACACGGTCACTTGAGTTTTAAAAGGAGTCTCATTTGAATTGTGATTGTTAGATTATGACAATAATTTTATTATCAATTAGTTTCTCCGTGTACAAGCTTTCAGTTGATTATAAAAAAGACATTATATGTTACAGCCGCCCAAAGACACAGCTGCAATCAAGGCACTGGCCAAGTGGGCCACACGTTTTCCCCACCAAGTCAGCATGACTGAAATACTCCAAGAGGCGAAAAGATTTAAAGAACTGACAGCAGTCGAGCCAAAAATAATAGAAGAAAAAGTCCAGGAACTTATGGTGAAGGAGTATCTTATAAGTAAGCGGCCAGGAAAGTCGACGATTTACACCAAAAAAAGCTCCGTAGAGCAGATTCTCGGCGACCACTTTGACATGAGCAACAGGTTCGATCCGTTAAATTTACTTGTGGTATGTGATTGATAATGAACACAAATAATAATTAAATATAGTAAATTATTTTTAAAACAGTAAAATTTTAAACATGATTTTCATTTCCGTTTTCGGTGTTCAATATACAAAACAAAAAAACAAACGTAATTCAGCTTAAGTGTTAAAATATTGCTATGGGTGGAAGTTAGAATGAGGCGCAGCCAACTAGTTGCAGTGGTGTTCTTTATTGCATGGTTAATCCAGCACACTCTCCAATACTCTTCTTCTTAATACACAATACAGTACAAGCATGGAAATGAAGATTCGGGCTTTTCCTCGTTGCAAAAAATTGTTTTTATTAAAAAACAAACGGCTCTACCAGTTTCGGTCAGAATATTCTTGTATTAGTCAGCGAGCAGCGCGTTTGCTCATGAAATAGGGTCGCAGACCGTGACCGAAACTGGTACAGCCGTTTGTTTTTTAATAAAAACAATTTTTTTGCAACGAGGAAAAGCCCGAATCTTCATTTCCATGATCATCTCCTCGAGTGTCAACTTCTTCAAACAAAAACAGTACAAGCATTTATACCTGACTCATATAGCTGACATAGAAAACATCACAGTGACCTGACTTATTGTTTAGCTTACCAAGCCCAACCGTAGCATCCCTCCCCTTCAAAATTACTACACCCAAGAATACCAAAAACCCCAGAAGGAGGTGCCCCCCCCCCCAATTACAGGGGTAAAAAGAGCATTTTAATTTAATTCACTCTTCGGGTCATTTTTTGGCGGAAAAGAGAACAATAAAAAAAAAACGTCGATTCATTTCGCTCGTCAAAAGCAATAAAAAACGTCATTAAAAACTAACACAATCCGTTGGTCACTCTCTTCTGGAATTTCGCTGACAGTCCAAAACTCGGCGCAGGCAAATTCACGCGCTCACTCCAAGGGCCTTTGACTGCTAACTGCTGTGCTTGCAGTTCTTTCTGTGTGACTGCGTTTGGCATTCAAAAACAAGTCCGAAAACGTCATCTTCCAATCTATCTCGGCTCCTCGCACACCTCAACGTGCAAAAAAGGTCACCACCAACTACTCGATTTGCCAATTAATTCAGTGTCCAAAAAGAAATTTAAAAATCTTGGGCCGAAATTGATGGAGCCTTTTCTCTTCTGAAGGCTGTATGAACTTACATAGTTTGGCTGTTTTGCTTGCACCTCGGACCACTTCCATCGAGATGACCTGTCTCGTGCATTTGGGCCAGTCTTCGTCCTCTTTCCACGTCCTAGAAAAAACGGGCAGACTGATTCCCTCACCATTGGCGTTGCGGTAAAAATGCATTTCACTAGCACCTCGGTTCACGAGCTGGTACTGGAACCATGGCGTAGCGTCCATCATCGTCCATCCTTGGTGCCAGGGTTGTAATTCACGGTTCCGGAGTCAAAACTCGCACCTCCTCCAACTGCTATGGGTGGAAGTTGGATTTAGGCGCAGCCAACTAGTTGCAATGGTGTTCTTTATTGCATGGTTAATCCAGCACACTCTCCAATACTCTTCTCCTCAATACACAATACAGTACAAGCATTTATACCTGACTCATATAGCTGACATAGCAAACATCACAGTGACCTGACTTATTGTTTAGCTTACCAAGCGCCACCGTAGCAATATTCTTGCGCAAATAACTTGATCGCGATCACAATTATTTCTCTTAAGCTGGTCGCGAACGCAAACACACAGTCTGTGATCGCGTCCAACTTTGCTTTTTTTTTTTAAATATCATGAATAATGTGTCACAAATTGACTCATGAAAATTGATATCCAAATATTGTGACTCTGAATGATGTTAAAATAACTCAAACAGAAAAACCAATAAATAAAAATGATAGAATTTGGCATTTTGTATGCCAAATTTCATCAAAGACCCTTTCCAATCATGGGCCATGATAATTTAAAAAGCGCTCACTCAAAAATTATTTTTACAATTTTAGGTCCCAGGCTGACAAGACAAAGGAGGTTGCAGGACTGTTGAGAGACGAAATCTTGAGGCTGCCTACGAACACCACCCACTTTCCGTCATATAGTGAATTGGATGACCCAGCCTCTAAAGTTCCTCCCTTGGTCAGAGAATTTCTGGAGACGGTAGGAGGCAAACGCCTTGGATCTGCTCTACCGTTGATCACTGCCTGCCAAATTCTTCAAAAAGTAGTGGTTGCCAGAGGCTACGTTTCCCCGATACAACTCTATCTCGGTCTGTTTATTTTTGCTTGGGCTGATGTTTTCAATAACAATAAAATTAAAAGGAGCCGTCATCTACCAGCAGTTTAAATCCAAGAGGATTATAAATTTCTGCAACAAATTTGGACTCACTTCAGCCTACACAGAAATTTTGAACTTATTTAAAACGAACGCCTCTCAAATGCCAAGAATCCTCGAAGGAGGCTATGTACAGTACGGCTGGGACAACCTGGACATCAGCAGCTTCTCGTTCGAAGGGGAAGTGCAGCTGCACCATCTAATAGGACTGCAGATAGTTTCTCCCCGCACAGCAATAGATTTGCAACAGCCCATTCCAAGGGAGCCAGTCAAAAAGGTTAATATGTACTCCACAAAGAAAATTTATATGACCATAGCTTTTAACCACGAGATATCGGCATTGTCGGCATACTCGCGATTCGCGGTGACGCTCCATAAGCTCAAGACTCAAATGTTCTAAAAATAAAAAACAAAATAAAATAAAAAACGCTGCATGTCAGTATTTTAAATTAAATTGATTTACTGTCGTATATTGCCTGAAGTGTGTTGTATTTAAAATCTTTATTACTTCATTATTTGTTGTGTTTGGGAAATAAAAATTCATTTATTTGTTCTTTATCATGCCCTAGGTTGCTGAGGAATTTTATAATATCCAAGTCTTAGAGTGCCCTGAGGAAGCAACAACCCCTATGATTTCCCTGTATGAGGATGTCATGCCTGTAAAGAAAGACAATCGGCACGATGATTTTGAAAGCGAGTGCGACAGTTGGCTCGAGCAAACTACTGAGAGCCACATAGGCTGGAAGGGGTGGCTGGAAAAAGAACATGGGTACAGTAATTTGAATATGCTGACCAACAAATTTTATAATTACCCATAAATTCCAGAGCTCAGGAGACTGCAAATAACGCCGGATTTCTAATAACCCCACGAATCCAACAGCCTGCAAATAACTACAGCAGTCTTTTCACTGCAATGAAGGCCACGATTGGAATGTGCCCAGTGAAGAACCAAAACAGGGTCATTTTCACTGTTGACAACGCACTTTACCTAAAGACGCTGAAAATACATATCAACTTACGCAACACTGACGTCGAAATTGCCCGAATAGTGCCTTCATTAGGCCCATGGCACTTGTGGCTAAATTTTCTCGGAGCAGTCGGCAATATCATGCGAGGCAGCGGCATCGAAGATCTCATCAAGGTTCTCTACTCGAATCGCACTTGCGGAATCATACTCGCCGGACAGGACTACCAAAGGGGTCTCAGAGCACACTTGCTGATCCACGAAGGACTTCTGGTATTTTTATTTATTATTTTATCTTTATTTTTTATTATTCTCCATCATAATTAGTATATATCAAAGCCTTTTTTCCAAGTGTCTTACTTGGGGAAAGAAAAAATAACTACTTTGCGGCAATTTTAGACAGGTTTTTTTGTATGGCCGATTTCGCAAACCGGCGGCCTCCATGGGCGGCCAAAGTTGGAAATTCTTGCAATTTCAAGATAATCTGATCTTCTCAAAACTTTGCCTATCCCCCTAAATCAAACCCCACCCCAGCTGCCAGGCAACTAATTCAACTGCGGTTGAATCAACGTCAACTGTTCAACGCACGGTTAACCTTTATTAGAATGCCCAAATTTAAATTAATGAACACAGAGACTCAAATATACCTTCACTGAAACTCTGAAAAAAGTTTTTGTTTATAAATTGTTGCAAAAAACACTGTTAAAGCAAAAAGTTTATAGTTGAAAATTCGACTTTAATTCAACGTGAAAATTGCACGTTACTGCCCTCTGGTGGTGGCGAGAGAAGTAGGCGGACGGCCCTTCCTTCTTTTTATGTTTACGACTTTGCGTATTTATCTATTTATTTCATCTTTAGCGATTGACTGACCAAGTTTGTTTAAAATAGGCTGAATTTACAAGCTTTCCGTGGTTTTTTACAAACAATATTCTGCCCACGGCATCTGTGTATGATGTGTTGTGCAATGTACGAACAAATCTGCAGGTTATAATTAGCAACAATTGAAAGTTAAACTCACCATCAAGGTTTGCCATGCCGTGGAAACTTACAGACCCCCAGCAAGCAGAGGTTTTAGTTTTATATTTTGTGACCATAAACATTAGATTAATTGTTAAATTCTTCAGGCCGACCCACATCAGTCAGAGTCCTAGCCAAAATCACCTCGTCACAGCTTGCCATTCCGAGGCAACTTTCAGAACTCCAGCCAGCAGAGAGGGTTGTTTTATATTTTGGCCCATACACACTAAAGTAATTATTAAAATTTAAAGGTCTTAGTCATAATTTTTCTCCAGTTTTCAACATAGGGGAGCAATAAAAAGAAAATTTAAACTAATTGGTTGGCTTAATTTACTTAACTTTTTTTTTAGGAATTGGGAAGACAAATTGATCAACTGTTGTGGGAAACCAACTCTCCTCATCCGTCTCTCGACCAACAAAGTCGTCAGCAGTACCCATCACGTACACCCCAACATCCACCTATACCTGCGAGGCTGCACCCCCTTGTCAAAAACGAGACCGTCGGAGGTTGTACTCGAGGTTGCTCAAGACCATAATATGGTCTCGAACAACCTCGGAGGTGTCCATCGACCACGAACGGTCTCAGGTGACCTCGGACGGTCTCGAACAACCTTGGACTGTCTCAAGTATTATTTATGGTTATTATCAGAAAATGCAATTAAAATTTTTATTTTTAAGCTTGTTAATAACCTTTGGTACTTTTTAATTAGAGGAAAATTATTTATGCATTTGTGAATCCATAAACTATATTTTTTACTCAAATTGAATTCCACCTTTACTTTTAATCTTCTAAAAAAACTTTCTGACCCCGAATAATTTTTGTGTGGCCTTATTTATAGAGTGATTTAAGTTGCTTTGCTTATTTAACATAAATTTTCCAATCAAATTGAATTTTTTGTTTAATTTAGGAAAATACGTTACATAAATATAACACCTGCATGCATTGAAAATAAAATTTATTATAATTTTTTTCACAAATAATTTAACTTAAATCACTCTGTTAATAAGGCCACACAAAAATTATTCGGGGTCAGCAAGAATTTTTTTTTTTTAGAAGATTATTATATTTAACAAAAATTGAAAATAAAGGTGGAATTCAATTTGAGTAAAAAATATAGTTTATGGATTCACAAATGTATAAATAATTTTCGTCTAATTAAAAAGTACCAAAGGTTATTAACAAGCTTAAAAATAAAAATTTTAATTGCGTTTTCTGATCATAACCATGAATAATACTTGAGACAGTCCAAGATCATTCGAAACCGTCCGAGGTTGCCTGAGACCGATTGAGGTTGTTCGAGACCGAGGGGCAACCGTTGCCCCTAAATATTTGTCATGTAAAATTTTGAGGTCGTTCGAGACCGTCCGAGGTCACCTTCAAGGTCGTTCGAGACCATGGTCTTGAGCGACCTCGAGTACGACCTCCGACGGTCTCGTTTTTGACAAGGGGCAAGGAAGCCATTCGGGTCCCCGACAAATAAATTTAGGAGAGAGGATCCCAGCCAAATATAATGTGATGTACGTATCATTTGATTTCTTCAAGTGAAGACCAATAATAAATTTAAGATTATTTCAGGATGCCACCTCGATCTCTCTATCACCACTGAACCCTGGCTGCAGTCTGTTAATTCTCGCCAACTTGAACAGCAAAAAATTACTGATATTATAGTCAGGCATTGCCTTATTGATCCTCAATTTCATTACTTTATCTGTAATTCTATTTTATATCTTAACTCATGGAAAAATTTTGAATCATTAAACGAGATACGGCTAACATCTTTAAGGTACATTTTCGCACAGCAGTGAGGTATAATTCTTTGGACTTATGAATTTTTCTTACTTGATTATATTCATAATAGACAAATGTTTTGCATCTCATGGAATGAATAAAGTATTATACGTATTTTAGTTGTAAGATTAATTTTTTTAAGCCCCATAATAATTGTAATTGATTGTAATGGAAAATTTGAATATTTTCTTGATAATGTTTAATTAAAAATTTTAACTTAGCATAGATGCAATAAAAATTATTTTCATTGACACTGATGAAAGTTAATGTCAAAGCTGGTTTATTAAATCTATTCTGAAAGAGTATTAAATTTGCAGTATCAACATTAAATGTTAAAGATTACATAAAAAATTTTTTTTATTAAAAAACTTGTTTTCTTAACATGCACTTTTCGCGCCAAATCTTAAATCTGTACCGCCTCAGAACAAATGTGGCGCATGCTCAATATGGCTCCCAGCTGGGATCAAACTACGATTTTCATCGAAGCGGAGTTGAACTTTGTTAATTAAGCATTTTATGACCGTCTGAAATGCAATTCTGATGTAATTAGCTTTGTGAGTAAAGGTATGAACCTCCTACATTCAAATATTAAAATTTTAGGTTCGCGTTCATAAATATTTCTATTCTAACCTTCACCTATTCTGGTGTAAAAATTTTATTCAACTCCCTCAAATATTTAAGCTTGTTTATTTACATTTCTGGGACTGAATATCGTGTAATTATAATGCAGTTAACAATAAAAGTTCATTACATTCGAGCTGGTAAAATTTTTTTTTGGCAAAGTAACGCAATAAAGTCATAAACAACAAATAATTGGGTGACGTTGACTCAACGTCAACCGCGTTGACGAGTCAACGTTGAATCAACGTCGCTTGGCAGCTGGGGCAGGAGTCCGAAAACCGGTCAAAATTAGAAAAAACCTTTAATTTTCACGTTAAAAACAGGTTCTAAAATTTCCAAATTAAAAATCATGAAAAACCAACTTGTTTTACCTGATTTTTTGACCCCCCCCCCCTCCCCCACGACCACAAATTATATAGCGTCTAGTAAAATTATTAAAAAAGTTCTTTTTGCCCAATTAATTGCAAAAATAAAATAGAAAACAGCCGAAAACCTCGAATGATTCCTCTCTCTCTCCTAAAAACCCCCGCTGACCCCGAAATTCCAGAATCACCATTAAATTCCGTCGTCGGAAAACGGTTCAGATGCTCGGAAATCGTTCGTAATTAATACCAGAGGTGGATTTTGGCAACAGAGAGTGAATTTCAATTCCTTGTGGATTTTGAATTTAAAATTCAAAACCTACTCGTGCGAATGCTTTTCAAAATTTCTATTTTCTACGCTGCTTTAACTTTATTCTGGAAATAAGTATTAAAATGCTTGCGAGTGAACTCACAATTGTTTTATGCTAATTAAATTTATTTTAACAATATTTTCATTACAATCAGCTGCTGGCTAAAGAGGAGAACGTTGATTTTGAGAAGCTGAAGGAGAGAGGACCTACATCGTCCCTGTGGTGCACTTACATTAAGATGGTACTTAGCACATGAATTAAGTTAATGAAATTAATGAACCTTTGGCATTTTAATAATTTTTGTTACCTTTAAAAGACAAAAAATTAATATCTTAAATGAATTACATTTAGGGAAAGTAATCCTAAATATATCAATTGTGATTAAAACCATTAATTTTTTAGATCACAGACTTGAAACGATGCATTTGGGCCGTCAAACTAGCCAAATTCGATGACTACTTGAGCGCTACTGCTCAAATGCTCCCAATCTTTCACGCAGCTGGACATCACCATTACGCAAGATCTGTACACATGAACATTCAGGTGCAAAGAGAGGCAGTTGAAAGTTTGCCTGAAAGTAAGCTCACAATCGGTGGTATTTTTGTCAAAATATTCAAATAATTGTAATTTACAGGAGAACAAAAGCTATTCAAATCATCGTGGGCGATTCGCAGAACAAAACACGAGTTTGGAGCCAGTGGGGTTGATTTGATGGTGGAATCTGAAGCCATCAAGAGATTGAAGGCACCAGGCGGACTACCTGGCAAAGGAAAGCAGCCCGAAGTAGTGGCTAAGTTCTGCAGAGCTGCACCGTTAGTTGCGGAAGTGGAAAAACGGCTGGAAATGTTGTGTGGCATGAACCAGTCGGAGAGTGATCACCCTGAAAGATCGAGCAGCAGGAGGACGAAGGATGCAAAAGTTCTTGATGCCCTCAAGCAGCAGCTGAAAAAGGGAGATCCTTTCGCTCAGAACTCATCACTCCGGAATATTTTCTCTGGCACCGTTTCAGAGAAAAGTGATGCACACCAAGCGTATGTCATTGGCATGAGGTAAGTGGATATTATAGAATATTGAATAAATTAAACGTTAAATCATTTTATTTAATTAAAAATCATTTAAATTCGGGACCTTTGACTAATATCATGGCAATGAAAGCTAATTATAAAATCAGAGAAACTACAAAATTAACAATTTGTGAATCTCTTAATATTGTTCTTGTCGCAGCCCTGTCGTAGAAATATTGCATCTTTTCAATTCCTGTGATAAGTGGTTATAGATGCATACATAAAAAATATTTACGCTGGAAAAAAAATTTGTCCAGCACGGGGCTGTAGAGTAACGATTAAAAATATGTAAAAACTCTGAATATTGTCTTGGTTGCCTGCGCTTAACAAATCTTTAATCACGATTTTAAAGCCTCGTTCTAGACCAATTTTTATTTTTCTTGCGCTAATATTTTTATTTTCCATCTAGTTTCCCATATCAGAGGATTGAAAAGATTCAATATTCTTAAGATTTCGTGCGATTGACCATCTAAAGATCATTTATAAGCATTGCTTATTTTACTCCCATAAGATGATTTTATTTATGTACAAATATGTATATTTTATGGTTTCAGAAGCTACAAAAGTTTTATTGGGAAACCGTTCGAAGAAGTGAAACTTGAGTGCAAGGTGGTGCCAATGCAAAAAGCAAATCAGCCATCGAAGCCGAGCACAAAAGATGCACCTACGCACGAGTCCGAAGCAGAAGAAACCGACGAAGACTTTAATGAAATGGTGGAAGCCTGATGAGCCTACTGGTTCTTTTACGAGGTTGAAAGGTTAACCAACGATGATCAGGTGCTCATAAGCTATAGCCTTGAGGCTAAAGCTTATGAGCTTAAGACTATGTATAGTTATCAGTTGTTCGTGCGATGGCCGGCGAGAGGTATTGGCCTGGTCTGACGCCTGTTTGTTCGGCGAGGCCTCTTTTTAAGAAGTTTGATGTTTTGCCACTGTTTTCCATTTACTTGATTGAGGCTTGCAAATTTGTGCGTAAATACCCTCAGTATTTTGTTAAAACGCGAGATGTGCATGCCTATGAGACGCGCGAGAAGTTCGAGTTGTACGTGCCAGTCCAGACGTGTGCTATTTCGAGGCAAAATCCGCTCAATTGCTTGTCGCGCTTGTACAATAATTTGCCTGTATCTATTCCATTGGAGTTGAGATTCCCTCAGTTTGTGGGCTTGTTAAAAAAGTTTGTTTGTTTTCACAAGTTCTTACTGAAGAGGAATATGTAAATAACAAAAATAACTTGTAAATATGTTAATTTCTTTTTTCCCTGCTGTATATTTCATTTGACAAAATTGTAAATGGATGGATAATACAATAAAGAAACAATAATAATAATAATAATGATAAATTTGATTATCCGCTTGAAAAATCAATTGTCAAGAATTGGCTTCTGCCAGGAAATCTAGTCCCGCTTACATGAATTGCATATGTTTGAGTTGCAGTTTTCTATAACTTTCTCAACTAATTTAAGGTGCACAAAGTATTTATCTGGTATGTTTCTTATTCGATTTAACTGATGAAACCCCCAAAAAATAATGTCAAAATATATAAATATAATTGGGTGGCGACTTCTGCACCACTAAAAAAGGGCACTGGCCTGCAAGACTTTGTCTAGGCCTGACCGTAAGAAAAAAAAAAGCATAAAAAAGCAAGCAACAAAAATTTGGTACATTAAAAAAAGTCAATTTTTCACCAAGATAAATTGCCAAATTTTGGCAATATATTGTGCCTTAAGAGTTAGTAGGAGATGGGAGTTGGTAGGAAAGAATCATTTTATTGGCTAGTGTCACAACATTTTCGTGACGAAGTCGTTAATTTATGTTGCTGCCAGCTGTGCATTTGGTATTATTATTGTTAGTTAAATAAAAGAGCAGATGAGGAATCGTCTTCAAAATTGAAAAACAACCCAACGTCTATGTACAGTGAAATGTCACCAATGGAGACATCAAAACCAAAAGAAAAAGGTAATACCACCCTGAGGAATCTTTCCTTCGAGCAATAGCTCCTCCGAGTAAACGAATCTCCACACTTTGCCATCCGTGGAACGTAATTTAGTATCATTGCTGTTTATTTGCCCAAATTTTAACATCACATTGCTTACATTCAACTGAAGAAAACAATGAACTTGGGAAAAAAGACAAAACGGCACCACCTGCGCTCTGCCGGTCAAGGCCAAAGGAAAAAATCCAACAGAAAAAATGCCTCGAGCTATATTCAAACTTCATCTTTAAAATTATTGATAATTTTCGGTCAGTTTTTATTCCAGCACAGTGTACTCTAGTTCCAATTTTCATTTACGCTTAAAATTTCCAGTTTATTCTCGCGGGGCTTAATGCTGGGCACTGCAGCATCATTATCCAGGCTGCTTCAATAGTTTGGTTTATGTGCGCATGCATATTTTAAATTACAGGTGGAACAGATGTTTAAAAGTTGACATTTTCGTGCACAAGTCACAAAGAAAAGCATATAAGATTTATAGTTTAAAACTGAAAATATTAACCTGAATGAATTAATATTAAAAATAATTTTTGCCTTAATTAAAACAAAAAGAAATTAAGAACGAACTACATTTATATTAGCGCGAGCGGAGCGCTCTTTCAGGACGCTCGTCAACCTTGCATATTTTTTTTATTATTTGTATTACAAATTTTTGCATCAGAGTTCTACGCAATTTTATATTTCTGATGCATTTTGGAGTAATTTAATATAATATATCATTCAACATTTCTTTGCATAGAGGTGATTTCAATATTTTACAATAGTTCTAATTTTACATGTAAAGTAGCATTTAGGCCTTTG